GCATGCTTAAACCGCAAAGGAGTATGAGGCGAAAAATAAGAAAAAGGAGTTTGGTGTGAAAGGTCCAGATCACCACCGTAGCTTCTACTATCAAGTACAAGGGCAGTTACACAATACACAAAGAAAGGTTTCTGATTTAATTATATTTACACTTAAGGGCATTGATATCCAACCTATTCCGAGAGATGACACCTCCTGGTCAACCAACATAGAGCCTTTTCTACTCAAGTTTTACATGGAAGGCCAGACTTCCGCTGAAATTCCTCACGTAGGCGAGTTGTCCGACCGAATAAACTGCCATTACTCCCGATGTGGGTATCTCTCGATCTTTGTTCGTAAGCGATAGTATCATGAGATCGAGCGGTGTGGCTATTCTTCCGCCGAATATTGCTTCGGCGGGTTTTTTTCCGTGTAAGATGAGACCGACGCGTGCTGCCGGAACAAGAACCTGGCGATTCTTTACTGAACTGCTTCTTCCGTAAGCTTCAAAAGGGATTTTGTTTTCGTTTCGCACACCATCTGTTCTGCTTGCCCGTTAGTTGCAGAATGGTATGGTGCACTAATGTGATGCCTGATGCCTTTTTTTTTTTTTTTCTTCAAAAACTTGTTTATTTTATTTGAAGCAAGATTTGGCGCGTTATCAGAGTAAAGTATTTTCGGTAGGGCAAAAGTAGGTAAAATAGACCGTAGAACGTCAATGACGTGTTTGGTCGTCGTGGCAGACATCGTGTAAACTTCCAGCCACTTAGAGTACGCATCGTACATGACTCCGCAGATGTGGATACGTTTCGCCACCCACCGACTGAATAGTGGATCGTTTTCAGTTACTGCTCGAGTATTTCCACAAAGTTAGCCCAGGTGCCAGGGCTTTTGTCGAAAGCGGTAAGTGTTCGAAACGTCGACAACGTCGGTAGCCACGTGTTGTGCTTGAAACTGGACACTTACCAATCGCTGAGAAGAAACTTGCTTGTTCGTCTGCCATGAGTCGTCCGATATCCGTTCATCACCACAACACCATCTCCCGACAAAACTGGTCTTCATTGTCCGCATGTCCATGGTTAGCAATCACGTCAACTTATATATTCCCGAACGCTCATAGCTTGCCGTCGCTGAACGCCGTTCATTCATAGCGTCTTCATTGCAAATAAACGTCTTCCTATTTCTTCTGATGGTTTCCCTAAGCTGTACTTACAACATAATGTGTGTCGGTACTTCCGAAAATATTGCAACGGCGTTTGTTTTCCGGGAACTATAATGTAACAACCTTTACAACATCTTCCGGACCCCGTGAAACACAATATTTCGTGACGTTACTTTAGTCGTCATTAAAATGGTGAGGTAAGTACCGTAAATCGCGAAGCAGTTTACTCGACGTCCGCTTCCACTGGTTGAGTCTACTAAGCGTGCATTTTTGCAGAGGAAATTTTCATTGATAGAATATTGACACGTCTATCAACATTTGATTCCTTCTTGGTAAGATTTATTGCGAAAGCACGTTACAACCGCCGACCGCATCTCCCTATATCAGACAACAATTTATTCCCAGCCTGACATTCTCGCATACATCCGTTTGGTGGGCCACGCTACTTGAGCTAGCTGAGCACAGCTGGTAGCGGCGCGAGCAAGGCCACGAGGGGAACGTGATGGTGCTCGAGCCATCCCACTGTGAACCAATGTTTCGGCCACCCCACGGGTGCGTGTCGCCATCTATTGGTTGAACTAACGCCTTGTTCAAGATGGCTGCCGTGGGACCGCAGCCTTAAGCACCTCTACCTCGTTGGTCTGCTCATTGCGCACCTCCTGCGTTTGTTCACCCCCCAAACGCGTCCGCGCGCGTTTGTTTACCCCCCACTTCAACCAATGACGGCACAAGCTGTTCTGCTTCGTCATCGCGTTTTCTATGCGCGTTCTTCATGTTGCCCTTTGCCCCTTTTCGCGTTTCGACGCGTCAAATGCGCCTTTTAGAGCACTTGTTCGGCGTATACAATATCACGGAGCTAATAAAGCAGTGCCAAAAAGCGCATCGTCACTGCGCTCGTCGTCTTTGGGGGTTTGCTACCCCGACTAATAGCAACTTCGCACGGAAAAACGCCGAATGACTGCGCCGCACTACTGCGCTTTTTAATGCGAAAGCATTAAATGGGGGTCTCATTGAGTGAAGCCAGCGAAAAAGGGCACATAAATTCTCATTGGCTGAATGAAACGGCACCTAAATTCCTATTGGCTCAGCGAAACGGCACCTAATTTCCCATTGGCTGAGCGAAACGGAACCTACATTTCCATTCCCAGTAAAACACGAAGAAAACCACAGCAGCGCAGATGCCTCGTCATGGAAGCCGGCGGGGGCGCTCGAGGTCAAAGCGCACGTGCCTCAGAAATAAAACATAAAGAAAGGCACATTAACGCAACGCTTCGACACGGCAAGCCGTCGTGAAGCCGGAGTGGTTCACCGCGCCTGCGCAGTAGGGGAGCGTGATGTCGCCGCCGGAGCGCCGTGTGCGGAAGGAAGGCGTGGCGCGGTGCGTGTAGGAATGCCTTTCGCATTCATACACGTTAGCAGTCTTAAGTGTCGTCTTTTTTTGTTGTGCCGTGATTTGTTCAGCAGGTAATAGCAAACCCCCAAAAACGACGAGCGCCATGACAATGCACTTGCTTCACTGCTGCTTGATTGACTCTATTGGATCTTAGGGTCCACTGCGGCCGGACTTAAGGGTAGACTGAAGCGGTACTGTATTTGAGAAAAAAAAACACACTTAAATCGTCTTCATTTTGGCCTCTCGGTTCACGAATATCGAAATTATTTTTAAATTTGGTGCACGGAGGCCGGAGAAAACCGTCTTCAATGTACCGCCGAAGCCTTTTCTTCCCGGAGCGTGCCGTCATATCCAGAGTTTTCGGACTCTCCGCTCTCGCGCATCTTCAGCGACTATCAAAGCTATGCAAGCGCACCTTTGCTATTTTTACAAAAAAAAAATATAAAGAAATCAGGAAAAGACTTTGCGACTAGGGAAGTCTACACCACCTAGAAGACAAGGCCTGCGCATTTCCTCCTTTAAATGTCATCACTATAGTAGATCCCCTCAGCGCCCCCCAGGTGGCCCAGATGAGCACCATCGTCTAGGGTGCCTAGATGTCTGTCTCAGGGTGAAGACATCCATTGTTGTCCGGAATGTGCCAGCGCGTGACGCTCTCGCGCACTCGGTGCGTGACTTGGGCGGTAAGATGGCGTCTATGCATCAGCCAAAGCTACGCGCTCGAGCTGAGTGACACCGGATTGCGCGCACTTCATAATGCATAAAAAAACGATTGGGCGGAAAAATGGCTGAGATGTCACCACTCAAGCAAAAGCGCGCGTGTTTATGAAGGCACTCTACCATCGTCGTCTGCGACACCTAAAGCTGCTTCGCCTGCTTCAGTGGTCATGCTCAGTGCGAGCTCATATTATTAGGCTGCCAAGACCGGCAAGCTCGATGGTGTTGCATGCACGTTGCAAATGAACAGTGGAAGCTCGCTATCAGCTCGCGCTCAGCGGTCGCACGTGGCCCATACTCTCGTCATTCTTCAGCCTGTTTCCCGCTTGGGGCGGGTCGGGATCTACTAACGATGACGTCATGAGTAGGCCTTGTCTTCTAGCTGGTATTTTGCCAGTTCGGGGGAATATATGCCCGGCAAGTTTGTAATTGCACGCGCTGCCCACACGAACGACACGCGTTTAATGGCCGAAAGATCTTAGTATGACGTCACAACTGGTCGGAGGTTTTTAGTTTTTTTTCTTGCGTTTAGGTGCATCTTTAGAAATACGAACCAGATATTCAGATTCATGGGATAGAACTACCCTATAATCAGCGTCTATTTTTTAACGAAATGTTTCAACGTCCCTTTAAGGCGTAACGTGGTACAGGGTGTCACGAAAAAAGAATTTAGAGGTTGTTTGTTTTTATCGGAAAAATAAACTAGTCATCGCCGAACGCTCATTCTCCGCCCAAAGGTATCGCTGGAGGTCACAACCAGATGCCAAAGTTTCAACCCGATCCGATACCTAATTCGAAAGTTATAGGTGATTTTCTGAAAAGTTCAATGAGAAAATGGAGCCCACTTTTGCCCGTGTTCGGTTTCTGGTGCCATAGAGACCCATGTATTCTATAAACTCCGTCGGCCGCCATTTTTCCATTGAAATTTTCAGAAAAACACTTACTTTTGAGTAAGGTATCGGATCGAGCTGAAACATTGGCATCTGGTTGTGACCTCTAGCGATACCTTTGGGCGGAGAATGAGCGTTCGGCGATGACTAGTTTAATTTTTGGATAAAGAAAACTTTTTTTTTGTGACACCCTGTATATCATAACCGGATCTTAAAGGGGATGGTGTTTATTGTGTTCTATGACAAAACCTTCTTATTTTACGGTAACTTAATTTTGCCCTTAAGTATTTACAGAAACCCATACACTCATTGAAAAAGAAAACATGGGAAAAATGAACGAAAAGTTTCTGTAAATGTTGTCGTATTTTGTTTTGTTTTTGTTACAGTAGTTTTTTTTCGCAAAACGGGAGTTTTTTGTGTGTGTTTCATGCATTTCTAAGCGCTCTGGAATCTAATCTAAAATCTAGATATAGATACGAGGCATTCTGGTTTTATCGTTCATATTTACAGACATCCGAATACGAGAGGTAACACAAGCACCGCAATCATGAGAATTTCACTGTCTTTCACTGCTTCGTAATGAAACGAAAAACAGCTCAAAGGGTAAATCAAAAGCATCGCATTGTAAAGCATATTTACTAGAGCTTACAAACGTTCCATGATAGCTAGAAATATTTATGTAGCTTCCGGAATTTAAATTAAACCTTACGATATGGTTTTTCATGGGTTCACCTATGAAAGCAATTAGAAATTTCTACTTTACTGTATGCAAGAAAGCAATCAAAATATATTAATGGCTCATAGCACTGTTATTTGACACACTAATCATGTTTCCGTCATTCTGCCGGACCGTCGACAGAAAGTGCAAGACAGCATGTTCAAGAAGCTGCTGCTATTCCTGCCCATCTTCGGTGACGACCTACTGCCCGTAAACATCCTTCGAGCTGTAGAAAGAGGACTGTTCCCGAAGGACGTGACGGTGATGCTGGGCGTCACGCCAGATGAAGGTACCACCATACTGACCACGTGAGCACCCTCCATATTCAAATGTTGCGCGGATCTATACTCCTTAAAAAAAATTAAAAAAAAAACTTTAGTGGTCATGCTTCATGAATTTATCGTACGTAATAGTAGGTTCTTGGGCCGGATGACTATGGGTCACGTGGTTGGTGCTACAGTGAGTCACGTGACCGCAAGAAGCGACGCCACGCGAAACCATAATGTCACGTGATAACGAACGTCACGTCACACATTTTTGCAACACTTTTTAGTAACGCCTTTGTTTTCTTTTTTCTTTTTTTTTTTTGTGAGGCTGCAAAGTGACGTTAAAAAGTAAGCGTTAACTTTTATGCACAACACGCCTCTTGGTAATCACTGCGAACATGTGAGGAATTATACCTGAAAAAGCGATGTAGGTCACAAAGACGAACATGGGGCTTCACTTTCTAATTGCCGCTGCGCAGGTGTCATTTTTCTTTATTATTTGTATCTTGAACAAAGCGCTAGGAACCAAGCTCGTTCAAACGCGAAAAGACGGATAATCATATTTTCTCACAGCAGGCCGCAGTATCAGAGGAAGTCGAGTACAATCTTCTTATTCAGTACAAAAAACCCGGCGTTAAATATTAAACCACAACGGTAAGAACCAGGCCCAGGTTCTAAGCTGCAGAAAAAAAGCTAGGTCTGGGGAAACGATGGTGAACTTATTCCATTGGTCTCTGGAGAATTATTGACCAAACAGCAAAGAGCATGTGGTGTCCACTTCTTTGGTCGTTCAATAAATACGTTTCAAAGTAAGGCAAAGCTGAAGAATTATTCGACATCTTGTGAACCCTGAGATGGGGAACGATAAAAAAACGGAAGCAAACATCAAAATCTCAATTAAAATTTTGTTGTGTTCGTCCGTTTTTTTTTTTTTTTTTTCGTCCCCCATCTTGGGAGACTTAGGGTTTACAAGATGTCGATTGCACTCCATCACTCGCTTGGTCGCTCGCTTGCACTCTATCACTGCTGAGAATTATTGTTTATTTTGTGGAAAGAGGTATTTATTCCTTAAAAAAAGAAAATCAATCTGTTTATTTCTTTTTTTTTCCCCTATTGGTAGTGTGTGTTTTTGTTGTTTTTGAAGGTAAGTCATCCACATACGCGTGAGATACGAGATGGTATCAAAATGTTTTGAGTCTAGATCTGTTTAGAAAAACCTACCTTATCTACGTTTGCACACTGTCACCATCAGAATAGTCCCTTTCCGCAGCGACGAAGCGCGATCCAGCAATTGGGATAGAGATCAGTGCTAAATAGTATTTTGCCGGTCGTGTAACAGCAGCTCCTTTAGCGGAATATCCTTTATCGAAAAGGATATTTATTGAAGAGGAAGGTGTTGTCTGACAGGAGTAGTTATAGGCTAATTTTCATTCTAGCTTTTTCTATACACGCGTTCAGCGCGTCAGTTACCCGAGCCGCCACCAGTCGGCGCGCTCCCCAGGCCGCCATTGGCTACGTTTACATGGATGCGACCATAGTGCATCGAATTGAGTTAGCGCATTGAAATCACTTTAACCACTGCGTTTACATGGATTCGAATCGACCGCTGCCGACAACTTGCGTCGAATGATTACAGCGCACCCCATGTGAGCTGTCAGGGAGGGGGGGGGGGGGGGGGGGGGAGAGATTAGTGGAGTCTGTCGGTGACTAGGCGGTCCGGACGGTGGCACAAAACGGGGAGGGGAGCAAAGTACCCCGTCCTTCAGACACTTGACTCGGTTCACTAGAGTTTACATGGGGGTCTCTATTCGGCTTGAATATCTCAAACCAACATCTTTAAACGGATGGGATCGGACTGGATTCGAAGCGCTTGGCTAGCGAATCGACGAGTTTACATGGGACGATTCGACACGCTAACTCGATTCAATGCGCTACTGTCATATCCATGTAAACGCAGCCATCGTCGGCCTGTATTTTGGCCTGCGTCTGCACTCCGGTTACCTCGCTTGCGGGTGTTTGTGTGACGATGAGCGGGCGCTGTGGGACGCGTAAACGGTGGTCAACGGGCAAGGCCCGCTCTGTAGTGGGTTCCAAAAACTGCAGCAGCGACAATGGGGTATGGAACCACGCTGCGCGCATTGAACATGCCCCACTGAAGCACATGGACTGTCCGTACTTGGTGCCGTTTTCGATGCACCGATTCATGCTGAATAGCCCAAGCAGAGCCTCTTTAAGACGGGACAGGCGGCACTTTTTCTCGGGCCACGCTCGCAAATTGGCGACTGCTCGTTCGCGCAAGACTTCCTACCCAACACATGCGTTCCTTGCTGTAACTCATTCCAATGCACCCAACATCGAACACGAAATTTTTGGGATGAGCGACGAGGCGCAGCACAAAAGACCGCATTCGTGCGATTCCCGAGCGACGAGCGAAGTTTACTATGAATTTACTGCAACTGATCGGTATACGACGAGCAACAGCAAGCCATCCGCCCCAGCGAGAGCCCAGCCGGTCGCTGATCGGCAAGTTCGTTCGCTTGCCAAATAGACTACGTGATTAGAGGGCATCCTTTCGGCTGACTTATCTCCATTCTCGTGTTCGCACAATGAATCACCTCACCATCAGAACGGCGCGCGCGAACTCATGCCCGGCTTTCTTAAAGGGCAACTCCACTCCATTTTTACAATTTTTGGGTTATGATCTGTTTAGTCGAAGCCGGCGACCCTGAATCACGAGATATAATTTGTTTTTCGGTAGTGTGTATAGTTTTGTAGATATCGCGAATGCAAGAATCGGTCCGGTGGCACGGCGAAACCGAAACTACCGGTTGAAGCAGCTTGGCAACACTGATACTAGTGGCGCGTCGTCGGCATGACCTAGTTCTAGTCCCGCGCTTCTGAGCCGACGCGCCGACAAGGTCGGCTCAGTCGCACGTGGAGTTTCAAAACAGAAGGTTAGATGCACATTTTCTTTTTTTACCGCTTCACTTTGTTGATATGCATCAAATGTAGTAAGTTTTAGTGTGTATTTATAAATTTGCCGGCCGAAAAGCGAATCCGACTGCTATAAATATGACGCGGTCGGTGCCGACGCAGCGTGACTGTATTTGTTTCTTGCGCGCGGACCGAGAAAACGAAATAATGGGAGATAGATGGACAGATCTATCCACAAGTGGTCTAAGTTGTTAAAGCCAAGGTGCCTTTATGTGCACGCTAGTTAGATCAGCCGCGACCTGCTGCGTCCGGCCGATCGTGCTGGAGCAGCCGGCGGACGGTACGCGAACAGCGACGGCACCGCATCGTTCTTCAAAGACGCCTGTTTCGTGGTGAAACCCGCAACAGTCAGCAGCCGCAGATCCCGTGTGTAGGTGTCTGACGTAAAGTGCTGGGAGCAGAGCTTCGCGTTGGAGCTCGGAGTCAACAGTCTTCCAAAGTCTATCCGGCGAACGGCACCGACCCACACCTTGTGCCTCTTCCGGTCTCTTGGGAACTGGTGGAACCGCAGCTCCGGGTTGCGCACCCGGTTGTTGGTGCAACCCACAGCACTACAAATCCTGCTCGACATTGCCCAACGCGAGACCGGCGAATCTCTCCGGCTCCACGACGCGCGCGTGAGCGAGCAGCACCGCTTCGCTCTCTTCCGCGCTGTCGCGGAAGCAATGCTGGAATTAAAGCAACTGCCTGGACGCTAATAAAAATAGGAGAACACAGGATAATGTGGTAAACACCTCGTGCCGTCAGCAGAATCGCAGAATGCCACGGGAAACGAAGCGTTCGCGGCGTCCGTACGAGAGCGTAGGACCAGACCTACGTCATTGCCCAGTGTTGCTTCACTAGCTCACCCGGTGCCAGCGTTGCTCACCCGCTTTCGGGCCGCTAACCGAGCCGGGAGAACATTTCTAATATTGGTATTAATCGGTAACGCGGCGTCGGTTTGACGTGATATTTTGGGTATGACCGTATTTTGACCTCCTAAAGCGATATCAGTCATTTCGATAGGGTCGACTTTTTGCGTGGAGTTGCCCTTTAAGGGGTGTCCAAACAGGACACTACAAAACCCGCGACTCCGGCAAATCGTGCCGCGCTTTGCCGCGATCCGCTTCCGGCCGTCGGAGGGAAATTTCCCTCCGTCAATTCTTCCCGGGGGGAAACTTCCCTCCGTCAAATCTCCCCCTCGCTTCCTCCACGGCGGCCTTGCTCTGCTCATCACGTGGGTCCAGAGAGCCAGTCACACGCTTATTTGGCTGTCGGTCAATTGCTCAAGGCCTCCGCTCACAATACGGAACCGCATCGGGCGCCATCACGACAAAAGTGAATCTCGACAAAGAAAGCAGATCCGAGGCGGGCGAAACGCACCCTTCGACGCAGGAATGTCCCAAATCCACCCAAAGCCGGACCTCCTTGGCCTTCGAGCCGAGGCGACGGCGGTACGCGAGGGCGTTGGCGAGGTGAGACAGACGCAGGTGGCATGTGACGTCAATCTGAAGAGGAGAGCAGTCGTGATCGTAAAAATTTTCACGACTCCTGCAAACATTTTCACGACTCCGACAGACCGTAAAAATAAAAGCGTCCGCTTCAATTTTCACGATTTGTCGGAGTCGCGGGTTTTGTAGTGTCCTGTTTGGACACCCCTTTAGACCCCTCTTTCCGTCGTTCGCTTCCCTCGCTCGAAGACGTGAGAGAGTAGGAAAGCCTTGCAGAATATCGGGTGTCGTTCGCCTTTACATAAGTCATTTCAGCGTCGCCGTAAGCTTAAAGAATCGTGTCGGACGTCTCTGTGGTAGATTGGCTCAGTTTCATGCAGAATTTCACGTTCGACCTTTTGTTCTAGCTTTGCTGTCTATTATGAAAGCAGAGACGTGGTAAGGCACATGATCAAAATAACACCGATTGTACAGCTCCTGCTGTACGCAGGTCCATATCTTTTTACACACTGACTCACAAAGGTCAAACCCTTTTGTGACAGTTCCTGCCGCCTTCTGCTGCCACTCGCTGGCACGTTACAAAATTAATCTTGAGACGTTTTGATACAACCTGGTATAAAGCAAAAAAGAAGTATGCTCTTCGACAGCGATGAGGTTGCGGCATTGGCCAACAAGAACCCCCAAGGACCAATCACAAAGAAGCGTAAACACATAAGCCGCACCCGACGATTCTTAACGTTTCAGTGACTAAATGAACGTCAATGCTATACGATCATCTGTTGGCGATGCGTACACCTATGTGTGATTAATAAATATAGCCAAACTGTAATGCTCACGCGTCCGAAAGAAAAAACAAAACGAAGTTAGCGGGGAAACTATATTTGTGTATAGGTCACCTGACATGAAGTCATGTGACATTATTTTTCCCACTAACTTTAGCGTGGGAACTATAAAACGCGTCATAGGGCCGGGGGGACATAAAGGGGATAATTCTCACGATAAGTCGGATAATTAACTCAAGTATGTTCAATTCATTTCTTATTATTCGAAAATTTAAAAATGATTCAAATCAGGAACTATGGGCGTCATTCAAAACCACTTCATCAGTCAATTTTAAGCACATTTTGAGCACGTGGTAAGCGCAAAGGTGCGCTAAAGTCACCACTCGTGCAACAGGCGCGACGCTGCTTGTCAAAAACGCGTATGGTAATCCTTCTATTTGCGTTTTGGCGCCGTACCCATTACGCCTGTTGCACGACTAGAAACTTTAGCCCACCCCCCGCTTACGACGCGCTCTGAATCTCTCTAGAATTGGCTGATTTAGCGGTTTGAGATGACGCCCAGCAAGTTTCTAATTGAGAGGAAATGTTTATTTTCACTACGAAGTTAAGTTAAAGATACTAGTTAAATATTCGACTTATTATGACGATTATTATCTTGCATTATGCGCCCCCCCCCCCCCCCCTTTTCCCTCCGGCAGTATAACTATAACCTGCAAAAGCCACATATAATCTATCTTTTATGGCTTTTATAGTTTTATTAACTCTGTTTGAATTAAAATGAATACCCTATTAAATTCTTCTGCGAAGCGGAAGTCCGTCTCCTTATCTTGCAGGAATTTGGTGACGTCAGAACGCCGAGCTCTGATTGGCTCTGATTGAAGGATAGTGGGTAGACCTGAAGGCAGCTTGCTTTGAGGTCTACCCAGTACCCTTCAATCAGAGATGGGCATTCTGGGTTCACCATAACTCCTGCAAAAGAAGCAGAAGGACTTGCGCTCCGCATATGTTTTGGCATGCTTATTGGGCAAATCATATCAAAACCCTTCTTCTCCCTTAGAATAGTGAATTAAATAAGATTCCAAATGGCAAATTGTTCGAAAATGCGTAAACTTCGTTAATATTCACAGTGAATGTTTTAATGTAGAAAAAACTGGTTCCATGGTCTTTTCTTTTTTTAAGTGAGAGATTATATATTGAACATGTACACATGCGACACTGTTAGCGCGAACACGACATCGGCGCATTTTCGAATTTTACTTCTAAATAGTATTAGCGAGCACGAAATGTTATCGCTTACGTTATAGAACTAGATGAGCTCTACCGGTAGCAATAATAACTTGGATGACATCCTTTGGTTTCAAAGAGAAAGACTGGAAAAACCGGCGATCGCTTGTTCGCGCTAACAGTGTCGCGCTCTGTACATGAGTGTTTTATCGAAGTGGTCACCATTCTTCTTTTTTTTACTCTAGTGTTGTGTATATTTTATGTTGTGATGAGACCCGCAGGATATACGGGATCTTTGTCACAAATTTATGGTTACCTTTGGCCCCTACTACAACACTAAATGCCTCATAAGTGCAACGCAATACAAAATATTACGATGAAATCCAATCCAATACAATACAACCTTTTCCCACAGCCTGACGCCCCACTTCTACAAGCGGGAGAGCCACCGGAAGGTGTCCAAATCTGAGCTCTTCTCCACGTGCAATCGAACCTTCCTGCACAGCTTCTCCAAATCGGCCCTGCGGAAGATCTACTGGAACTACCTTGGTCTCCTCGGCCACACCAACTACGTGACGCTCCGCTCCGCCATCGCCAACTGCATCGCCGACTACTTCATGGTCTGTCCAACCCACGTCTTCGCCGAGGGGCTGAGCCAAAAGGGAGTGCCGGTCTTCTTCTACCAGTTCGACTACCGCACCAAGAACTCGGTGGACCCGCCCTGGATGGGGGTCATCCATACGGCTGAACTCTACTACCTCTTCGGCGAGCCTTTTGCGACGTCCTGGTACACGGACAAGGAGCGGGAGTTCAGCAAGACCTTGGTGGACATCTGGGTGACGTTCGCCAAGACAGGGTGCGTGGATGAGTCGATGAGGCGCGCCGTCTAGTACATGCACGTAGCATATATTGGACACGACAGCTGCGCCAGCGCTTGGCGTCAACTCGACTAAGCTCGTATCAAAAACAAGTGCTGCGTGAACAGGCTTCGTGCCTAAGAAAAGGATACCGCCAATGTTTGCTTGTTGCGGGTTTTGAAAAGGGTCTATTCTGTGCAAGGTTCAGTTTTATTTAGTTTGTCATTACGATTTCATGTGCCGGCTCGTGTTTCTAGATGTTCACGCAAGTTTTAGCCATCTATTGAAGCAAAATTGGCATCATTAATAAGAATGCAGAACTCTTTGAATAACCTGTCGCCTCATATGGACGTATTTTCAGATTTGCCTGTTTTTAAAAGGGAGCATGGGGGGGGGGGGGGGGGGGTGTTGCAGTTTTTTTGTCCTTTTTTTTTTGGGGGGGGGGGGGGGGGTTCTTAATCTGCATGGCATTCTCGTCGATCGTTGATTATTAACCTGGACTCTGTTTTGATTTTGATTTATGAGCCACCATATTCTGACCGGCTGGTTGTTCTGTGGGGCATCAACGAAATAAAGCATTATTATTATTATTATTATTATTATTATTATTATTATAAGGCAGATTTGATGATAAAACCATTGTGAACAACCGTCATGAATAAGCAGAACGAAGAACCGTGAAGGACTGTGAGGTCACGGTGACGTCACGTCATGACGTCGCGGTGCCACAAAACGTTATGACGTCTCGTGAAACCATAACGTCGATACTTCAGAGTCATGGAACCTCATGACGTCACGTGACGTCACGCACACACACAAACACAGTACGAACCCAGCTCGGTCACGACATGTTCTGTGCTGCTCGGTATGTGTCGGCATGACTAAGCTGGTGTAATTTTTAGCAAAACATCGGATGCTTCACAACACAGATGGATATATGAGGTCGTTGGTCTCATCGCGTGGTCAAAACTAGCTCCCATTTATCGTCTGGCCGGACATCTACCCTGATTGTGTGGAATGCACGTTCAACGTGCGCGAACGTGCCTTCTTTTCAATCAAGTTTACTTTTTCCTCGCAGAAGATAAATGAAAGCTAGTTTTCATCACGCGCTGCAAACCACAACCTCAGATATGGCTCAGAACATGGTCAAAAGCACAAGTCACTTGGTCTTCTCTGTATGTGATTGGTTCAAGGATGATAGAACACAAATAGAAACATAACAAGCACCATGGTGGCACGCTTTTGACGCTGTTTGATTGATTCCAGCAGATCGTAGTGTCAGAGGCGTCCGGACTTAAGGAGACACAAAGTGTAGACTGCTCCGACATTCGTGAGTATGCGGTACCAAGTTCTATTACTTTTAACTTTTATGCGCAGAAAGCCTCCAGCTAGGTTCCATTGGCCAGCATACAGGTGGAACGCCCGAATGTATCTTCGCCTAAGCCCGGACAACTTCGTCTCTAAGAGGGGTCCCAGGGAGGAGTGGTGCAAGCTGTGGGAAGAGCATCTCTACTGAGGTTCGCTCGGACGTCCGGCAAATTGTTGCGTGCCGCCGTGCTAAAAATGTATACCTGAAAAACGACGACGACAGAGTGGAAAATTGCATTCACCTTTCTGTGGCTACAAGGATTTAATTTTTTTTTTTGCCATAAAATTTCCTGGTAGGCTACCTTTCTTAAATCACTTTTAGTGAATTCATATTTTCTAAAGATTGTGCGTTTATAGCTTTAAATGCGTCAATATATTGACTATCCCCAGTATGTATGTTGTAAAACTAGGTAAAAAAGTGTGATAATCCAACGCACTAGAAGGTAGCTTTACCCCTGCCGCGTTGCGCATTTTGTTCAGTAATCAGATAGGCGAAACATTTTCATGATTTGTCACTCATTCAATATCCGTATCACTCTTGCATCATTCGCATCATGTACTGAAAACAACTATAAATATCTACACCAGATAGATATTTTTGACAAACTGCTGTAAAAAATACATCTTATTAACCGATGGGAACTTCAGCAGAGCTGATAAGTATGTAAGCACCGGACTTGTTGACCTTGACTATTTAAAAAAAGACAATAAATATCCTCCATAAGGAGCAGAAATATATTTCAATGTTTTGATAGAGCTGCACTTTGTCTTGGTTGTGTGTTTGCGCAGGAATTTCACAGATCTTTCGTGGTATAGTCGGGTGTTTGATGTCCATCACTTTTGTGTGAGTTTTGCTATGTCCAGGAGCCACTGCTGGCGGCGATAATACTGGGGCAGAAACTCGGTTAAGGCGCTCGCTATAACTTTTTTCCTCTCGGCTTCCTAGAAAGGAATTAAAAAATATAGAAGTATGTGAGTGAATGTATGACAGTTCAATACATGCTGTATTATTTTATAAACGCCGAATGCCATAAACACTCTGCATATGGTACTTCATCCTACTGTTTTATTTGGGATTTACTTCGTAAATTGCTTTTCAAAGCTAATAATATTATAAATATAGCCACAATGCTTCAATAGTACATAAAAAAGTACATAAAAATACACACAAAATTCCATTTTATTTGTGTATTGCACTATGATGCTATTATAATCGTATCAGATGTGATACGATTATTTCCCAAATAACTTGGCAACTCCACTTTACTATATTGAAATTAAACGTGTTTTATATCCTGTGCTCCGTTCCTTTTTCCATTATTTTGGGATTTATTGGATGGAAACTTTATTGAACCGATGTATACGATAGCAAGTAACCTTCGGAGTACGGTCAAAATTAGTTCTTTTGTCATTTTCTGTGACTCTAACCATTCTAGAAGATAGTGGTTTCTTGTAAAATTTCAATGCAAAACTAAAATGCTCTGATGAATATCCAAGAAGCAGCGATTCCTAGGAAGAACCTTTTAAAAGACAGTTGTCATATAGTAAATCTTTTAACGTGAAACATTCTTTGGCTAGGTGTTCGGCATTTCGTGAAGCCTGTATAAAAGCGTGGCCGCGAGGCTGGACACTGATTGGTTGACGGGTGAGAGAGAAGGAGTTGGGTAGGCGAGGAGGAGCTCGACCCCCTGCGCGCACTGAAGGAGAGGAGCTCAGGAGTATGGAAGGCTCCGGAAGATCGTCAGGCCTATCAGCCCAAAGAGCGGTAGTGTTGATTCATTCTAGGAACAACTATCAACTGTAACGCTTTGAGCTACCTGATGAAGAGCACCGTGAACGTAGGCGTCTGGGGTCTGGAAATTCAGATTATCACTAAATGTTTGGGATGCTAGAATGTTTCAGGTATGCAGCACAATTGCCTAGCAATTTCCCATAAATTTTCTTGTGCTCGGAGCAGTAGAGGCAAATATCCCGCTTCGCTTAGGGTGAAGGCATTGGACCGGCGTGCGGTCGTGTATCACTACTGCGTGATGCACGATAAAGACACCCAAGCTAGAGGTTCTACTGCACTGGTAATATCTCATATATAACGGGTAAAAATGTTGCCATACTCTGGTAGACACAAATCCCACTCCCTAAACAAATAACCACTAATTTGTTTTTATTTCAAAATAAAAGTATGCAAAAGTGTTTTTTACGCCCCTTTCAGGGAGCTTTACCAAGATCCTTGATTGTCAGTGATTTGCCTCAAAAGTGATTCACACATTAATAGACATCTGACTAGTAAACGAAATTGCAAGGTACAATATTATTTTTTCGCGAAGTAATTTAAGTTTCAAAATTGGTCAGAGGCCCCGAGAGGCTTTTCTGGCACCACTGAAAGCATGACGTCATGTTTTAATAGGCAGGCAATATGAGGGCATTACAACTTGTTCTCAATGGGTTACAAAATGTCAGATGGTGTAAAATAAATACTAATTCTGCTCACGTCAATAAAAACAAACAAAACAAAACAAAAACACGCGCATGCTGGTGTTTTTTCACGCTGTTTGTTCGACTTTCAAGTTATAAAACATGTGACGTCTCCCCACCAGAGAGGGCGGGAAAATTTGAATGCTGGTTTTGACAACGCCTTTATTTTGTGGTTTTCTCAATAGCTACTTTAGAATTTAGAAATAATAAATAGCATGCCTGAAAGAGTAAAACCTGGATATTCTAAAACTTTTTGTTTAGTTTGGATTGCTCGAAAAACCGCCGGAGCTGCCCCTTAAGAGAGGAGGGCGCGTAGGGTATACTACGGCTTATGCCCAGTAATCGGTGGGTTGTGGTCATTGGCATCGGCTTCAGACACTTTTTTTTGTTCAAGACATTTGATGAAGAGCGCCGAGAAGTTTACAAGAGTTGTCGAAGTTATAGCCCGTTGGCAATACGGACTCACTCCTGCCGTAAATCTTTTTTGCGAAAACGCACTCTCTGTGTCCATAATACACCTCGAAAACACTGCCTAAACCATGCAAAGCAACACATCTCGACTGTTCTACCAACGTTATGTTATCCTTGACCTTTTTAACCTTTTGTTTTCTCAATATGTTCGCTATATCTCCCAGTTGGGCACGCTGGTGGGTGCTGTGTTTTAGACGCCGAAGTTCTTGTGTGCTTTATAAGCATCCTGTTTCCTAAATTCTTCATGGAGCGACCTCGTACGGAGGCTACTTTAGAATGAAACTTCTAAATCAGAAATGTTTACAAAATGTCTTGTTCTCCATGCTAAACGCGGCGCACTTCCTTTGTTTAAGATCTTCACTTTTGTTGTCGTCAAGAACATTTCAGAAGTGATTAAGCTATTCGGCGACGCATAGTAAAACCGAAACGAAAAAGGCACAAAAAAAGCACACAACACATAATATGTGTCTTTCTTATTTATGTCGTCCTTCGTCTTGAGAAACTTCAACCAACTGTGCTGCATTCTTGCTGTCTCGTCACTTATCCGGCTATCTCCTCTTGGAGGTGGAAACAAAGCCAAAAAATGTCATACTTTTTGGAACTGCCTCATTTTGGCAACCACGGTGTGGCTGTCAGTCTCCACCAAACTTGAGTCCAGTGACATTTTCGAAGATGACCTTCTTGACTTCAGGGACATAAGATATCCCGGAGGGGTTTCATACCCTTCCTGTCCCATTGGCGTCCAGTATATTCCCCTTGGTCAAAACAGGCAGGAGCAAAATACTAAAGAACGAATGCTCACGTTCGAGCTAAATTCTCTACCTCTCTTTGACAAAGCTGGATATCTTCAATTTCGTTTTGACCCATGTCCGAACGTTTCGGACATAAGTCACGCAACGTGGTAGCTGTGGAACCTGCTCGATGTGTGGCAGCACTGTACGAATAGCCAACATATTCGAGAACTGCCAGAAGTGTGTGAATCGTGGAGCCAGTCGCCCCATGTTCTTCCGAACACATTGGATTGCTGCCCCTAGTAAAAATTAAATTAAATTAATTTCTACTTAGGTACTTATTTCACTGTATTGAAAATGTATCTATTTAGATACCCGTAATATATGATAAAATGAGTATCTTTTGGGGTATTTCTAATGGCTGAGTCTGCTTAATTTTCTAAATTAATGGCGCTTTCCCTTCTTTCCCAGTGAAAATGCCGAGGCCTCGCTACTATAACTAGGACAATAATCTCGTTTCTACTACAGGAGCACATTACTTTTGATCTCGGCCTGAGACTTCCCTAAAAAATTATGGCAAATTCCTAGGCAGTTTCCCAGACTCCCACGTTCACGGAACTCCTCATCAGGTACTTTAACGCGTACCATGTGTACACTCGATAGTTGTTCCTAGAATGAATGGGTATTACCGCTAATTGGGCTTATAAACCTGGCGACATTTCAGAGCCTTCCATACTGGCAACTTCCTCTCCCTCAGTTCGCACAGAGGGTCGAGCTCCCCCTCGCCTACCTCACTCCTCCTCGCCATACCCTCTGGTAATATTACCTCACCATTAACCAATCAGCGTCGGGCACCTCACTCCTCCTCTCGAACCCGTCATGCACGAGCTTAGTACATAGGAATCCAACTCGTTTTAAATCAGTAACGTGTCACCATATACATGTGTTACAAAATTAGCGACATTGAGCATCGACTTGAGCTACGTTGCAAAAACAAGATATACAGTTCTCGAGACAATCAAGAACGAATTGAAAGGCTTAGGGGGATGGCTGTAGCAAAGTGACCCACGAAAATGCTGCTTAGGTACTGCAAAGCAGTGACGCGCTTTTATTTATTACAAAGTAACGAGTATCATATCCAGTTGTTATTTTATAGAGTAAAGTACAACACTTTTCGGAATGTGCGCTTCTTGTTTTCGGTCCGTCTTTCAATGCGCTGGGGGCCACTCTGCTTGTAGCCAGTCCTGTTTAAAGACGGCTTCATATCTGTCACGATGTCCAGTGGCGCTTGCCAACACCTCCCATGCAACAAAGCCGTAGTGCTTATCTTTCAGCTTAACCCGAAGAAGGTCAACCCAAACAAAGATTGGAAACGACTGCGTGCGTCAGTCTTTGGTTGGGAACCGTGTCGTCACTAAAAGGAATTCAAGTCTGAGCCGAACGCGGACGCAGCACTCGCGTCTAATCTATGACCCAGGATAGCCCTCCCCATGGGACGCGGAAAATTAAGCACTCCAGTTTTGTTTTTCGTGTGTTGTTCTAGCGACGGCGGCACCTTCGGAACGCAAAGACAGGTTACGCCGGTCAGAACCTTATCACCCTTGCTATGACCAGCCAGAAGACGCTGGTGAGGGTGCATAGCATAATTCCCCAGCCACAAAGAGGCGTACCAGTTCCTGGTGCCGCGTCTTTCGCAATGCCCAGTTACTGTAGTGGCTTCTGCCCCCCAGATTGTGCAGAAAGTTTGCCTCAGAACCTCGTGATACTCGCAAGGATAAGCCAGAAAACGCGTAACAGGACGATGTCCAGCCAGGACAAGGAGGCTGACAAGTCCTTGGTGATGCATCTGTCTCAATGTCCAATGCCTCTAGTGGCTTCTCCCCCTCCGAAGTGTGCATACAGGTTTTTTCAGAACCTTATGATTCTCTCGATGGTAAGCCAGAAGACGCTGATGAGGACGCACAGAGTGATGCCAAGCCAGGACAAGACGACTGACCAGTCCTCAGTGAAGCGTCTTTCTCAATGTCCAGCGACTCAAATGACTTCTCCGCCTCCAAACTGTGCAGACAGGTAGCGTCAGGAGCTCATATTCCTGGCAAGGATAAGTAGAAGGCGCTGCTGAGGCCGCACAGCGCGATGCGAAGCCAGGATAAGGAGGCTGACGAGTCCTTGGTGAAGCGTCGTTCTCAATGCCCAGTGACTCTCGTGACTCCCCCACTGCGCAGACAGGTTGCATCAGAACCTCATGATCCTCGCAAGGATAAGCCAGAAGACACTGGTGAGAACGCACAGCGCGATACCCAGCCAGGACAAGGAGGCTGACCAGTCCCTGGTAAAACGTCGGGCACGTAGAAACTCGGTGGGCACCCCTCTGTCGAAGTCAGTGCCGGTCAGTACACCTTGGGGCACGGTCCGCTTGAAGTGCATGAAGCAGGTCGTGAACACTGCGAACACCGCTGTTGGGGTCCACGGGAATCCCGTCCAAGAAAGAAAGGACAGAAAGGTAAGCAGATGCGGGCAGAACACGCAATTTATCAACCGCTCTGTAGTGAATTAACACGCAGTGAAAACCGCATTCATATACCTTTTCCCCCATTTATTTAAGAATTTGGTGCAACTAAAAAAAACACCCTGTATACATGAGTTACAAGTTACGTCCTCGCACTAGGCTGAGGACAGATCCTACTTGCTCTTGCTAAATAAAATATATATTATGTTTCGAATCGTTTATTGCGGAAAAAACGCACTTAGTAGCAAGGCCACCAAACGGTAGCTGATGGGACGTCAATGTAGGCTATATATACGGGTCTTATACGTGACATCTTTGTACCATGTTGGCCGTCGTTCCTGGTTGTTTTCGCCAAGAAAAACAAATTTAATGGTGCTACATCTATGCAGCAGAAGGTACAACATCCAACAGTATGAAAGACCCGTTCCCCTGGCAGTTTATGCGGCGTTTCTAAACAGATATTGGCAAGACACTTTATTTTTAGAGCGAGTATAAAATAAAGGCTCATTTATTTCCTCACCCGAAACCACGTGCATCAGGCCAAAGCTAATCCAAAACCGCATCGTTGAATGGGTCTTTCGTATGCTTGGAGCACGGTGGAAGAAACACATTTAGATGGTGATTCTGGCCGCTCTTCCCGCGAAGAGCGAGCGACCAGATCGTTTTCCAAGCTAGCCTCGAACCAGGAGTATACTCTGTTTCACCTTATGATGTAACGCAGGAAAGGCTACAAGCGCGAGCTCCTTGCTCTGGGGCACATCCCGGCGGTACAAGCTCTCGTGACTTAAGAGCAGCTGTCAACGCTATGAGCTCGCGCTTCTAGCCTTCATTGCGGTACAACATAAGGTGAAACGAAGTATAGTTAGTTCCGCGCCGCCGCGGAGGGCGCTGAGGTGTGAGCACCGTGGGTATGAGGGCTCTAGACCTCCTCGGCGGCCACGGTGTCGGGGGGTAGCTTGCTCGCCTTTTTCGGGGTGTGGTGGTGGTGTGCGGTCAGTGGCTGGCCTCATGTTTTGCTTTGGTGCTGTGTCAATCACCGGTGCCATCATTGTGCACGAAGATGAGCCTTAACCTGAAGAGGAAGTTATGCTATAACGATGGGAAAGACGTGCTTCATTCCCAACTGCAATTCGGGGTACCGGAACTGCGCAGAGCGAGTGTCCTTGTATAAAGCTCCATCGAATGACGCTCTGAGACACAATCGACAGTGCTCTTGACACATGCACAACAACGTTTCTATGCGCTGAACCCAAAGAAGAAAAATTGCCCAGTTGCTCCACTACTACTTCGGCATGCGAATGCGAAAACACTGTAAGCATATTACGATGAGTAGGAACAAACAAGCTCGAGAAATAAATAAATCAGCAAAGCAGCGCTCGTTCTATTTTAAGGGCATGGGCGAGAAACACAGGACGTAGGAGATGGCGTTCTTTGGCAGTATGCAGTGAATTCAGCTTTTATATACATTTTAAAGCAAAAATATTTGTCGCGTATTTTTTTACCTGTAAGACACCCCGACTCACAATATGGTGTGACAGCATAGTGTGAGAGTGTAGATGAAAAGTGATTTATGTCTTATAACCGCTACTATTGTTTGACTTTCAGACACTGTGTCGTCATGTCAGTCAGTATGTCATCATATTGTGTCATCTTTTCAGTCACTACGTCATCATAAAGGGGGATTTTTTCTGCTCACAAGGTTTGTATGTTCCACAGTACAAGTTGACATTGTATGTATAAATCATTCGTAATGCTAAAACCTTTATGCGCATGTAAAGAATTATTTAGGCCCCACTATGCAACATTATAGGAATTTATTTTTGTTTTCAATAAGGCAGGAGCAGGGTGGAAAAAATCACCCGACCTCATATAAAGCCACGCAATGTATGTAAACAATTTACGGAACTGTTACCAAACATGTTGTTTGACAAAACATGCGAGCACGACCAAGGTGTTTACTCTAAATTAATCTAAATTATTGAGGGCCCAGTAGATTATGCCGGGAAGTTTTATATTTATACGAGTATTTTTGACACGTTGCGTTATCATCGGAATGTTCTCCTTAAAAAAACAGGAACCGCACGGAGGAAAAGGCAATCAGTGCCAGTGCGCCAACATAAATCCATCATTTCACAATACAGTGCAAGGGACCAGGTAAAAAATGCATTATTTCCTTCACAGGCCCTCCATACAAGCGTTCACAAGCCCCTCTATACGCGGGCGCCATCTATCCCCGTGCGAGTGAAGCGCGCTCAGTGCGCCGAACATAATGTGGTCGCGGCGCGAGACAGAGAGTCATCACCTAAATGTATTTCTTCCATCGTGGCTTGGAGACTACGTTCTCACCAGCAAGAGCACCACAACGGCAGCTGATGTCACGTGAATGCAATCCCTGTAAAGCTAGCTGTTCTCACGAAGACGAAAAAAAGAAGTAAATCGTACCTGAGAGTATGAACATGACTCCCGTGACCATGACAGCCGACAGCTGTCGCTTGCAGATGCCAAAGCCCCCGACGAGAGCGCTGGCGCCCATTAGGATCAGGCTAACCAGAGAACAGGACATGGCCAGGTTGCGCATCTCTACGCACAAGCAATTCACCCAGAATTACTCGCATGATGACGGGCTAACATTTGCAAATCAGAAAACTATACATTGCTTGTACAACGAATGTAGCAGTTTAGCAGGGCCAATGAGCGCAGAATTGCAGTGCGCCCTTCGCGTGCCCTTGTTGAAACACAATACACTAGAAATGTACTAATGTTTTGTAACTTTTTGAAACAAAAAAGTACACTCAAAGCAGGGTGGGGCAAAAATACTCTTAAAAGTACTTGGAAATACAAAAACTGGTTATACAAGACAAAGACAGCAAAAATGCTGATATTCAATTACATTTATAAAAGCTATCGCGCGATTTCAATCAGAAATACATATGAATATAAAAATATTTTGAAATACAAATACAGATACAATTTTGTGTGATCGGAATGCAGTTACTGAAAACATTGCCCTAAAAATTGTTATCTTCTATCTCTAAGTTACTATATTTCGTAAAACTTATCTGTCCGCCCTGTAGGGTATACAAAAAAAGCATATATGATCTACAGTACTCTAAATAATTATATGATACTTTTATAGAAACCAACAAACGATGGAAATAAATTTTTCGCAAAATTAACATTTGGCATTTTGTATAGCGAGCAGTGAAGTGAGCAACATTTTTTTAATGGATTGAAAACATTCCCCACCAGAGATGGAACGCAACTTTTCTCTGCATTTCTCATCCTTTTTAGGAAGAATCGCAAGGAACTATAAATATGTTTCCTGTGCTAACAAATAACCTCGAGATGTTACCCTGCCATTATAGGCGATATTATGACGTTACGGTGAAATGAAACAGTATTTTCTTATATGTTGTTTCGACGTGCCGGCAGCGCATATAATTTTTGAAGTCTTCAAGAATAGTGCACATTGAAGCCCTGAGCAATGTTTGTTATATTTTCAGAATAGAGAAGTGGGTCACTATAGTGGGAAGAGCGTTGACACAATCACAAAACATCAGTGTACTCTTCACACCACCCCCCCCCCCCCCTCTCAAAGACAAAACAAGAAAAATATCAGCTTAGGCTTATTGGGAAGACAACGATTCCCTGAAAATTGTAACCAGACACATTACCTTATAAAGTACTGTGATACCAGGAATACACCGAAAATTTATTTTAAAACGGAGACCAAAAAATACTCTAGAAAATTTCGTATCACGGTACAAAACAAACTTAATACAAAATGCAATTCTAAATACTATCGTGATACATTTCCCTTACGATACCGCCCATCCCTGACTCAAAGTATGTTTTAGTATACACTTTTAATATTGGAAGTAATTATTTGAATGTAATTGTACATACTAACGGTATATGTTTGCCATACTATTACTCAACTAATAATATATTTCAAGTGCGCTTAGCGAAGTGCTTTATAGAAGTTCAAATTGAGTACACTTTTAGAGTATTTCCTTTCTACCAAGTGCGTTAAGCTATCTCAAGGTGCGCTTTCGGCAAGACCCCGGCACCAGTTCGTCTATACTTGCCATACAAGCCCTGAATGTCACCCCATGCTCGATTCTTTATAGAGACATAACTCCATTAGTCTTGATACCAGTGTTTTCTCGATTACAGTGCTTTAGAATTACGCTATTGCTGTTTTCATTGCTTTTATATTTATCCTGAATGTTTAATTTAAGTCGAACAGAATTTTATTTAAATGGAGTGAGAGTTACTCTGGTGTCGTCTTCACCACGTATTTATCAAGCTCGGTGGACGTTAGATGAGGAAATAATCGTCATGGGAAGTCGAGTAATTAACTAAAATATGTTAATTAACTTTTTCCTTAGTTTTAGGGGTCATGTTACAATTTCGGTATAAGAAAATATATATTAAAGGACAGACGATTTTTTTAATTTAGCAAAATGTAATGGTTTTTGTAGGTATTAATTCATCAATGCATGTTCTCGTCTTTTAGTCAAATTTAAAAACTGAGCGCAAAAAGAGCGCAGCAAGCCCTGCCCAGACTGACGCTTACGACAGTGACGTAGGCGTTTCAGACCTCTCGTCACTTGTGTCGTCAGCGCACCCACCGAGGACACGCTAACGTATATCGATGACGTCACTCTTCCAAGCGTCATTGGGGTGGGGCTTGCGACGCTCTTTTTCGCGCATATTTTTTTTTAAAATGGAGTTAAACCGATGAAAACTGATCAATTACTATATAAAAAGCTATTACATTTTCGGATATTTTTTCAGTAACTGCCGTCACTATACTGCCATTGCAGGCAATCCATAAAAACAATAATTAAAAATTTAATTAACATATTTTAGTTAATTAACCAACTTACTATGCCAATTATCCCCTCATTTAATGTCCGCCAAGTTTGATCGGTATATGTTGAAGACAGAACACGTCCAACACTCACCGTCGTTCTTAAAAAAGAAAAAAAAGTCAGTTTGAATTATGAATTAAAATTCACACCCTGTATACAGGCTGTTTCTTTTTATAAAATTAACACATTCTTGTTAAAATATTCATGAAAGATACAATAATTTGGTTTTTGCAAACGAGTTATACGGCCAGGGGAACATAGTATAGGGGGATAATTGTAACATCAGTCGGTTAATTAACTAAAATATATAATTTAACGATTTAATTATCGGAACTAAACATATCGTTCTAAAGACATAATAACGCTTCAGACAAATACAAATAAAAGACTGGGAAACACAGAGCGCTGACTTCAGCTGTCTAATCATCGTAAATTGGGAAATATACGGTATACACTGCGATCATCGCACTTAATCAATCCCAGGCCTCGCCACAAGCTCGCAAGAACGTTACCTCCTTATCTACCAGGTCAATGTAAGCAACGCTGACACAGCCTGCACCATATCTTTTGATTACGTCTGCCTCGATTATCCCCCTTACGGTCTTATCCTTATGTCCGGCAAGAACATTGCACGCGCTGAAAAGAGACCTATACAGCCACAGTCTCGACAGTGAACTGAGAGATGGCCATCTTGATAGCTGTTAACATTTAGGTAATGATCGATAAACCTATCATTCAATTGTCTGCCCATTTGACCGACGTACTTCTTTCCGCATGACGACGGAATTGAATACACGACCCCCTCTGGCGCAGGCAACAAGAGGCTTCCGTGTTTCTTGACGCAGCACAGCGCGTGATCAAAAGATCTGGGGCAGGCTGTGTCAGCGCCGCCTCCATTGACCTGGTAGATAAGGAGGTAGCAAAGGTAGCATTCTTGCGAGCGGTGGCGTCGTGGCCTGGGAATGGCTGAGAGTGCTATGATAGCAGTGTACATGTTTCTCAATTTACGATGATGAAACAGTTGAAGTCAGCGCTCTGTGTTGTCCAGTTCCCTACTCTGTCCTCGTCTCAAGCGCTACGATGTTATTGAATACCCAGCACCAACGCGCCCAGCAACCCGCACTGATACGGTTCTAATTAGAAACTTACAAAGTGTCATCGAAAACCCTTACATCAGTCGATTTCAGAAAGACTCTGAGCACGTGGGAAGCGCGGGGGAGCGCTAAAGTTGTTACTCGTACAGCTGGAACAAGGCTACCGGGGCAATAACGAGCTCGCGCGGTTTTTCCGCCTTTCGTCATGGACCCAGCCTAATGCGTCTTGCACGAGTAGTAACTTTAGCGCACTACTGCGCTTCCCACGCGCTTAAAGTTTTTGAAAAAATTACTGATTTAGTTATTTTTGATGAAGTTCAGGAAAGTTATAAGTAGAACCGTAAGTATATTTTGATTAATTATAAAATTAATTATCAATTTTAATTGATTATTCGACGTATCGTGGCGATTAGCCCCTTATTATATCCTCCTGGCAGTGTAACTCACCTGCACAAACTGCATTAGTGTAGCTTTCACGAAGTTTTTTTAACAGTATGTTAAGCTTAAGAAGAAACGCTCTCCATTTGTATGCACGGATACTCCGTGTTATACCCCTTGCTTGTCCTTAAGGAATATAAATTATGCGGATTATGATGATGCTGGTGATATGCATGGATTCATGTTAAATAATTATGACTTGGGTCACAAGTGCAAAAATAGTTTACATTGAACGTTACTTAGTAAACAAAGAATATCTTTTAGGTTAACATTCTTGGATAACATATATAACAATTAAATTTTAATTGGGGTATATTCATGCTGAAACTATTCTATGTTAAAAATAGCACACCATCCAAGCAAAATCTGACCCTTCTCGCTTCACAGAATTTGAACGCTTTTTTTTCTTTTATTTTTTTTTGTCAACTATTGACGAGTAAAATATGTTGCCAGTAAATCTCTTCTTGGCGAATTTTCAATAATGTGTTTGATATGGTTGTCCGACCTGGTGGTGTTTTTTTTTTTTTTATTCGCATTGGAATTTTTCTTTGTTTGATTTTTTTCCCATGTTTGCCTAAATATATTGTAACTACTGTGTCACTCAGATACCTTATTTATTTTTTCAATAATAGCCATATATTAGTAAAATAATGTCTGCAAGTTATGTAATAATGATTAAATTATTTCGTGAGATACAGATTTCCAAAGTTTGCCATTTGTCGTTCGAGCAGGCATGTTTGGCAATTTTTAGAAAACTAAATAAATTTTTAATAAATATTATTACTTTATATTACAAGCAAGTTGTACCCATAGTTTGTTTGTAAAAAGTTTTAAAATTCTCCTAATTTTATTGTTTTAATTATTCACTTTCAAACTTGCCCCCTCCATCAGTGCGCGTTATTGCAACTGTCCACCTCTCCCTGCCTTACGATTTTTCTTGTCTCCAATTTTTGTTTTCTGGTCAAAACTTAGTGTGGATTCGTTTATACCAGACACTAGACAATGTCATATAAAAACATCAGTTGATTTAAAAATGTCGACCAGCCACCCTTTGGTCGATCTTATCTGAAATCACCCTCTATATCCTAGTTTTCTCTATTGATAACCTTTCTTGCACTAGTTGTGTTTAAAGGTAATGTTTTTATTGTATTTCAGTTATGTTGACGAACTCATTGTTCGGATTTGGTTCTTACCGCACGCCTGGAATAATGCTAAAGGCGATTTATTTGCAAATCATACGTGACGTCACGTGTGACGTCATTAGAGGAAACGTCCCACAATGCAACGCGCGGTAACGAGTGATGTCACTCGTGACCCTAGTGATCCTCGTGACGTCACGTGTGACGTCACCATGGGAAATGTTTCATAATGAAACACACGGTTACGCCGACGACGACGGCGACGCCACTCAAGCCGCAAACGGGTGCCTTAGAGCTCCGCTCTAAAAAGTAGAGTTTGATATCTGAGCTGCCAGAAGGAAAAAGTATGCAGGCAGTTTTGAACCATGGTTAAAAGCACTAAAAAGACGAACACAAGAAAGAAGACAAACACGGGCGCTGAACCACGGTTAAAATCGCCCTTGTTAGTCTTCTCTCTCGTGTTCGTCCTTTTAGCGCTTTTAACCATGGTTCAAAACAGTCATCAACAAATAGCCCAACAACAAATACTTTTACTGCATGCAGGCAAGCAATGTGATTGGGAGACAACATATCTCTTGCTCCTAATTTCGAAAAAGCCAGGAACACCCTATTTCAATATACCATAGTTAGTAACAGTGCAAGAATGTGGTAGACATGACTTCAGAAAAAGGCAAACTAGGCCTCCCTTCACCAAGTAACCTATGATTAAAAATTAATCTGTTAACGGCGGATTGAAAACCACATCTCTTCATGACAAAGCTTGCCTCCATAACGTCGGCTGAAGGATGCAGAGAGGAAACTTTCCATACGCTGCATGACTGCAGTATGCCTCAGAAGACTATTCTAATGTTTTCAGGACATTAGGGCACCTACAAGGTGTGTGGTATTGAAATAATTTTTTTTTTTAGTTTACAATAACATTCTAACAAGAAATATGTTTTATCAGCCGAATTTCTAAGGAAAACTGTTTTTGAAGAACCGTCACAAAGGACCGCGTCACGGAGAACTGTAGATCATGTGACATTGTGACCTCATTTTACGGCATGATTTCACATGACATTGCGTGGCCTTCTGACGTAATATAATGATGGTGTCATTGAACGTCGTGATATTTCACGTTATATCATGACGTCACATGAAACCATGACGTCGTGTGACGTAACCATCATGTGACCTCATAACGTCAGGTGACGTTACACACACATAGCCATGTGCCCAGCTCACTCACAACACAACTTGCGCTCCCCGGTTTATGTGAGCATGATCAAGCTAATGTAGTTTTATAGCGCAGTCTCACACGTTTAGCTAGGTTTTTATCTTTTTGTTTTATTTAAAACCTAGATATTAAAAGAGCTCACTGTCCAGCCAGGGGTATCTGACCACGACGGGTGACCGGCGGTAGTCTTCGTCCGCGGAAGAGATGGAGTAGTAGGAGATGCAGCCGATAGGAGCCAGCTTCGCCTCGTCGCCCAGGAAGGCCAGGTCATCGTCTGAATCGAAGGAAACAAAAGAACTACGCTACACGTTATTCTTCGATGTATGAATAAATTGCCTACGCCAGAAAAAGTTAACCAAAAATCCTCCGTAAATTGACAGTGAAAGCTTTCAGGGCTGTGAACATGGTTTAAAGGGGTAAGGCAACAAATGTTTGCACTTACTTCATTGTGTCAATGGGCTATGTTTTGCCAGCAGCCCAGAAACATTAGATTGGTGTTCCTGGGCTGCTGACTGAAAAGTAAACAAACAAAAAAATTTAAAACGAATTAACAGATTTCAAAATTGCTCCTGGTGGCAGTCTGTGAAGCTCCGTTAAAATGCCTCCACGTCATGAGCTTTTAAGGAGCAGCGCCAGTTTTTGCGGCAGTTTGGCTCCTTCATGGAATTACTTAGCCCTGAATGTGACTTAGCGGAGAACGCTAACGAGTTTACTACGTTGTTTATGTTAAAGAGATACTAGAACAAAATTTCGGGGCTTATTTTTTGGTCTATATGTGTTCAAAGGAGCAGTATCACATTGGACACACCAATATCTTGTTAAAAGGACATGAAAAGGAATTTTAAAACAAATTAAACGATTAGCAAAGAGTACCTCGTGGGTGTCGCTAACCCCTCGTTTGTAATGCCCGTCTAGGAACCTTGACAGGTAATGACGGTAACTGTCTCGCCTCCGGCCACCACGAGAGAAGGGGGTAAGGAGGAACTCCCTTCTCCCCGAGAATCCCTTTTGTGCGTCCCAGTGTCGCTATTGTCCCTCTACAAATTTATAAAAGATTAACCCGTCACTCAAAATGCATACAAAAGCAGCCGCTTCGGTGGCTGGAATGACTACGACATCGTCTTGAGGTTGGCCTCACCGCAGCTTTGATCGTCCCGAGACGAACTACGTCACGATTGCGGGGGATGTTACGTGCACTGCGCTGGCTGCTCTCCGAGCGCTTGCTAGGGTGGGCCGTTTATAACTTAAAATACAGCCGCCAGGCTCATAATACAAACGTGCAATTGTCATTTACGGATATTGTGGATCATATTAAGCCTATTTCGGAACACGACAGGTAAATTTCAAATTTCGTTGAAATATCCCTTTAAAGCTCCCACAGTGCTTGCGTAAGTGCATTCCACATCATCAAGATCGCTGTTTTTCGCAGACGATAACTAGGAGCTTATCCGAGGTTGCGAGGACGTCTGAGAGGCCAATCACACCATTTTCCCCTCCCCAAGGTGAGCTGTCAATAACGCGCTCAAATATGACACCCAGTGAACACCTTACATATATAGCTTGCATCTGTCGCCACTGCTGCGTACTGACGGTTATTTCAACTTGCTGGTTTTCCCGACCTGCTACTTCTGCGGTGTAAAATGAAAACAATGAACCGAACGCTCCTGCACATAAAATAGCGGCATGGCCGCGAATAACGTTACGGGCAAGCAATGTATAGGGTATAGGGTGTATAATCCTTGGATATTACTAGTAGGCAAAATTGTCAAGCGCTGACGCCACCAAGCGGCAACGCTCGAAACTACAGTGCCCTTGGCCGTGCAGGAACTCTTGACGTCACGAGCGAGATACGCACTGCGCTTCTCGCTGGCCGGCCTTTCAAGAAAGGGTAGAACGTAGAAAGCTCGCGGTCACGTCATTTCGTTTCCGTACGCCTTTGTATTCAAGAATGGTGACAGAGAAGGTCAGTGTTGGGTAAAGTACTTCTAAAAGGTACTTCAAGTAAAGTACAAAGTAAATGAGACGTGATGTATTTTAAGTAGAGTATTACGTACACTGGTTGCAACGTACTTGAAGTAAAGTACTAAAAATGCAATGTACTTTCAAAGTAAGCTACAAGTATTTTAAGACAATCTTTCATGATGCCTTTTCATTCCCCTTTACATTGATTTTTAACTGGTATGCATTGCCCAGCATACTAGGGTGCATGACTTATTTTCAAAAACAGTGGCGAATATTTGATAAAGTCAAGTGGCCACAGAGTAGTCATTTTCAGTAATGGAGCCAAATTCAGAAGTCCCTCATCTGAATTTGGAGCCCCTTGCACTGGATTGTTGTACCCAAGGGGGTTGCATGTACTAGGAGAGAGCATGACGTCAGCCCCGTTGCATCCACAAGAAATCCTCTCATAGAGGAGTGTCTCCTTGTGCAAGAGAGCTGGTGATAATTAATATGGCGCCTGAAATTTGGGTGCGAAAAAATTAAGTAACTTTCAAATAGAAGGAAAAGGCGAAAGAGAATCTCTCAAAACATTGTAACGTTCTCCTCTGTTTTTTTTTTTTTTTTTTAATACTTGAAAATTTAATTTTTTAGCACCACAGTCTCAGGTGCTACATTATGATGAATCTAGCTCTCCTAATATTTTAAACATCCTCGCTTGCGCTGACCGACCGAGAAGTAGCGAGAGTTCAAAAAGCTACGGGAAAGCCGCCCCCAAAACAAACAGAGCGATGCATCGTCTGCTCACGTTTCTGGTGAGAGTGGAATATCCCTCCCAGTATTTCTTCGGAATTGACAAAGCATCATTTCGCGGTAGACATTTCCCAAAACCAAATTTGTGGATAGTACTTTGAAATCAGGAATTGTACTTTCCTTGGAAAGTACCAGAAACAAATATTTTAAGTAAAGTACAAGTACATACTCAGTGAATGTACTTCAAGTAAAGTACAAGTTTCCTAAACCTACTTGAAGTGGCACTCTAAGTACAATGTACTTAAAGTACTTTCCAACACTGGAGAAGGCTTCATGTTTGTCCTCGCTACACATTCAAATATGGACTTCTTTCATCTTCCTGCGCACATATGCCTTACAATCAATCGTGTAAGCCTGCCTGGAGTAACTAGGCGTGCATAGTTTGCACGCGCACACCAAGGGGTATTCACACGAGGGAGAAATCCCGGAGATTTCTCCCTCGTGTGAATACCCCTTAAGAGAGCATCCGGTTGATATCTAGGCTTCAATATATAGCATGGCCTAGCGTGCAACTTGAAGCGATATTTGAAACAATGCGTTTGCATACGGTGTCTTCCAAGCAAACGTATGAGAACAAAACAATTATTCCATTCTGGTCAAGCTATATGTAACATGACTTTAAAAAAACATGTTCAACCTTTTTTTTATGGATAATGGTTTCATTAACACGTACATATAATTCAAGTTGAACAATCGGAACCCTAAATATAAACTTACATTTGCCCTATTCTCTAACGTGCTTTGATTTATCTCCGAGAAAAACAAAACAAAAAACTTTCAGAGTTTCCACTTTGGTAAAGAAGGAAGACCAGCGAAGCTGTACTATGGTGGGACGACCTCAAGGACGACTTCTTGGACAACCTCAAGGACGTGGTCTTTCGTAGGGAAGGATGCGGTCTTTCGTACGGTGTCACAATGAAGAAGACGTACCATCGAGGGTGGCGCAAATCCGGTGAACCCCGCCCTGGAGGTTAACGAGGAAGAGGGCCTCCGGCAAACCCCGGTAGGGACTCGGCCCCAGCCGGACCACGTTCCGGGACCTGGTCACGTCCAGCCCCTGGTGGCGGGCTAGGGCAGACACCTGGTCACCGTCGAAGCGCACCTGGGCGACGCACATACGTCTGTTTCAGAAACCACAAGGAACGTCATCCAGCTACTGCCACACGACCGAGAAGGAAGCGAGAAAGAGAGAAAGGGAAAGACTGCACGTTAAACTTCGTTTCACCGTGAGCCCAGGAGCTGCTGACGCTCCGAGCCGGTGTGACTAATCAAACAGCGTACAAAGTGCAACGTCACGGTATTAATGAGGCTTCAATGCGTTTCTTACAACCCTAAACAAAGCTTGTGAGTCTACTTTCACGCACAACACTTGGAGAGCCAATCACCGCAACAGGCAGCTCAGCGAATGACGATGCCGAAACATATGTTTAGACCAAAAAACGCAGTCTGAGTTGTTACATTAAACAGTGTAAAACGTCACTCTTGCATTGCTTAATGTCACAAGTCAGACTGCGTTTTTCGGTCTAAACATATGTTTCGGCATCGCCATTCGCTGAGCTGCCTCCGTAAGTTGCGGTGATTGGCTCTCCGAGTGTTGTGCGTGAAAGTAGGCGCAGAGACTTCTTTTAGAGTGGCATCGCTAAACCATTCATGTACAAGGAAGGCACAGTGGTTTTCGCATTTAGCAAATGTCTTTGGGGTTGAATGTGTTCGTGCCTTAGACTGCGCTCGAACATATATAAAATGAAGTACAGTTTGAATCGATGCATCGCGGGACGGTAAATCGGCTTCCGACCATCATTGCTGTGGTCAAAGCCGCTATTCAAGGCAGTGAACAGAACAGCGCACAAAAGGACAAGGACAGTAGAAAAGGAACAAGCACGACACACAAGCGCTGACTCGTAGCTGAATGCATACATAAAAGAAACAAGACAACGTGCTGGACGTCACGCAGTGCCAGTGCGTTTCACACATGACATAGCACCATCTAAGACGTCTTTGCCCCATTGTCCGATCTAAAAAAGAGGTTTCTGTTTGAAGCAGGGTCACTGATGGGTGGCTAATGCACCGGTCCCCCAAGCTATTGATACAATACGCTTCCAAAATTTCGCGAGTCGTCTTGTCTCGATCGCACAACAATAATTTGACATTATCGAGACAAGACGACTCGCGAAATTTTGGAAGCGCATTGCATTAATTGCTTGGGGGATCGCTGCATTCGCCACTCATCAGTGACACTGCTTTAAACAGAAACTTTGTTTTTAGATCGAACTACGGGGCAAGGGTATCTTAGTTGAATGGTGTCGTGTCATCTGTGACACGCACTGGCACTGCGTGACCTTCAGCACGTCCTCTCCTTCTGCCCTTGGTGTATAAATTCAGTTGCGAGTCAGCCTTGTGTGTCGTGCATGTCCCTTTTTTCTGTCTTTCTCTTTTTGTGCGCTGTTCTGTTCACTATGCTCATCATACCAACTCGACCAGCTTACCACAGTTCTGCGATTCGATGCAGGTGTTGTGAGTGGTTAACTGCGCTGTGGTGGGTACAAAATCAGCAGGTTATCAGTGTAACTTGCTCGAATAAACATTTATTTCGCGACTAACGTCATATCGTATCCGTAGGCAACCGAAGAAAGATAAAAATATTGGCCCATGGTCGCGCCGAGAGGCCTTAGTTGAGCCGCTGATCCACGTGGACGAACGGGAAGTACATACTCGGTTAGATTCTGTTTCCAAGCAACCGGCTTTTAACAGATGGCAGTGCACTGTTGTCGTTGCCAGCCTTTTACGTTGATAACTCACAAGTTGGTCGTTGAAGGCAGGAACGACGTCTAAATTTCGCATACACACGCTTCGAAAACCAAAGCGTGCTGTAAGAAACAACAAGGTGTTGAACTGGGCGAGTTTGTAAAGCGTACTTTAAGAAACGTGCTCGATGCTTTCCTCTCCACTGAAGTGTAAAAGTTCTTTCAATTATCTTTTTCACCAGCTGTACATTTTTCAAACCTTTAAATACCTTGTTTTTGTTCTGCTGTACATCCATCTTCTTTTTTTTGTTTTTCCTTTTTTTTCTTTCTTGTAGGCAGGGCTAACGAAAGCGAGCTTTTCTTGATTTCTGTATTCTCAGTCAGAACTTGCAGACCAGAAAATGTCTGAATTGATTTCATGAAGTGAGTATGCATCATATGAAAATAAACACCAATAATGGCCAGGTAAATGGAGCGACGTTAGTTGCTGTCTTTATTGAAGAGTGATCCCACATGGAGAAATTTGTTTTCTCCAACATTTGACGGGTCAAGCGTTCTTTATTGATTTGTTCTTGTTTTAATTTCTTTCTGCATCCGTTTGTTTTTGTTTTGTTTTTCCCTGGAATTAGACGATACCATTTCGTGAACGGAGTGGTGTCGCTTGGCGTCCGAAACTAGGAGTGTTTGTTTCGCTCTGCATGAGTTGTGACCCACATTGCACCCCGGCACATGACAACGCCGCTCCGTCTTTTTCGTGGCCGTATTTGGCATCACTGTGAGTCATTGTCTCTTCGGCACAGCTAGCAGCCACACAATATTGTGTCGCTTCACACGCAACGAGAAACAGGAAAGAATCGCACCAACACGCCCCAAGCCAGCCTCGTAAACGCTACTCGACCGGCCTCCTGGCACCGCTGCAGGGGGGTAAAGGTGGATGAGGAGGAGTGGCAAATCCTGTGCGTCGACATCCGGGGTCCCGAGTGAAAGATCACGAAAGAGAGCGACAGAACACGAATGAAAGAAGGCAATGTTGCCAGCTGAAAGATGACAGTCGCAATGGTAATCGCGAAAACTGAAAACTCTCAGCAATATAAACAGTGATAATTTTACGTTGGAAACTTAATTTCCAGCTATTCTAACGCTTATCAAGAATAATATACTAATTCCGCTGCATTAACTTCCCTTCTGTCGAAATCTCGGAAATCTGGTGGTTGCGCGGTTTCGTATTCCTGGGGCGCGCCCACTCGAGCCTATACTCGCTCGCGCCCCACCCGTGAAGCCGGTTATCTGGTTTGAGTAAAGCTATACGCACTACGTAGTGCGACTCAACCTGAAATGGCTACGCGCACTACGCGGAGAGCTTATGCCATTTGGGTCACCCTTTATGAACGGCGCGTGTATCACTGGGGATGCATCATTATATTCGTGAAATCGAATCCCGAAGGTCTGCCTGCATGATCCGCCGCTTGCGGCGGCCAGAATGCATGGGAAAATGGCGGACCTTTTCCTCTAGAGTTAGTGTATATGACCTCCATGCAACGCTGTGACTGGCAGCGCCACCCCGGGCCCCTGCGGCAGAATTGGGCCACACGGCAACCAGCTCATACGGAAAGGCCGACGCGGTCGGCACACATGTCAGTTCAGTACTCAGCGAACGAACTATGGCTCTCAGATGCTTCAATTTAGTCTTCGAAATTTGTTAAATACATATGCAGTAGTAATGTTTCCCTTGAAAACTTGACTTTCAAAGACTTGCGTGGATATTTTTGTACATGATGCATTCTTTTCATAAAACGTTGTTTGTTTTGTTTTGTTTCTCTGTTAACAATACCTTCAGCTGCTACTTGATGTGATTTTCATATTTGTTTCTCGATGCTTGCCGTTGACAACTGTAAGAGGACCGAGGACCAGTCAAGCTGCATATCGCAACTTTTTTCCTCGGGCTCCACCATCAAGATTGATGGAAATAAAGATATTATTATTATTATTATTATTATTATTATTATTATTATTATTATTATTATTATTATTGTCTTAATCTTGGGGGATTTTAATGCTCCTGGAGTCAACTGGCCGCAGCTTGATGTTTTTACGGACAACTTTTACTGCAGGCAGAAAGGCACCCAGCTCTTAAACTTTTCTTCTTTCTTAAATCTCAAACAACACAATAATGTTTTGAATCACCAATTTAATGCTCTAGATTTATGCTTCTCAAATATGGACAGTGTGCGTGTAGCACGGGGTGAACTGCCATTAGTTCCTCAGGATCCATATCATCCTGCACTTGATATAGTACTTTCTTTCGAGAATTCTTCTGTTCGTGCTCATTCTAGTGATTCCCCGCCGCACACCTCATATAATCTGTCGGCAGGGGACTATGTCGGGATGCATCATTACCTCACGAGTTTTGATTGGGCACTGACCTTGGAGTCGCCTGACGTGAATGACCAGGTCATGCTCTTCACGCAAACTGTTCGGAAGGCCATGGATACTTTTATTCCGTTAAGGACAGTTACTAAATCTCGCTTTCCTAACTGGTTTTCCAGTGAGCTAAAAACACTACTGAAAAGAAAGGACTTCTTTCACAGGAAGTTTAAGAAAAGTGGCCTTTTAAAGTGGGAGGTGGAATTCAAGAACTGCAGAAAGCAATGTAAGACGGTCCTGGATCGCGACCGCCAGGCTCATCGTCGCTCAGTGGAATCAGATCTTGTCAATAATCCGAACAAATTCTGGAGGTACATTAATTCACGTTCTGGGAGGCATATCGAGTCGAAGATTGTCCTCGATAATCACGAGAGCGATTTGAAGTCCGTGCCTGAGTTATTTGCTGAGCATTTTAGGTCCGTCTACAGGGATAGTACGCAGCGTTCTGCACCTGTGCTGCCTCACTTAGATGGGTTTGGTGACTTGTTAAGTTGCATTAATGTTGATGAAGAGTCCGTACGATCCTGTATTAAGAAAATGAGAGCAACATTATCAGTAGGGCCCGACGGCATTCCCTCTGCGATTCTCAAAACGTATCACGACATATTCACGCCGGTACTGTGCTCGATATTTAACAACTCGTTAAGGTTGGGAACCTTTCCTGAAACGTGGAAAGTCGCTGCTGTTGTTCCAGTCTTAAAGTCGGGAAAAAAAGGTGATATTTGTAACTATAGACCTATTTCTCTTCTCTCTCCATTTTCTAAGCTCTTTGAAATGGTAGTTCATCAATTCCTGTCTTTCAAATTTCGAAACTTAGCAGTTCCCAATCAGCATGGTTTTATGAGCGGGAGATCAACAACTACCAATCTTGTTAGCTTTATGTCTGCTGCATCTCGTGTAATATGTAACAGAGGTCAGTTAGACGTTGTCTACTTTGACTTAAGTAAGGCTTTTGACGTAGTCAATCACATTATTCTTTTATCCAAACTTTCCTCCTATGGAGTATGTGGCTCAGTACATGACTGGTTAAAAAGCTACTTGTCAGAGAGAGAGGCATATGTCCGGGTTAACAACATGAGCTCTTCGTTGTACAGGACTCGCTCTGGCGTTCCTCAGGGATCTGTTTTAGGACCCCTTCTGTTCACAATTTTCGTAAATGACGTCTCTTTTGCTGTTTCAAATTCTTCATTCCTGCAATATGCTGACGATATAAAAATTTATCGAGAAATAGTTACTGAACGTGATTGTGCTAAGCTCCAGGAAGATGCATGTTCTTTCTACCGATGGTGCTCTGAAAATGACCTTTTCTTGAACCCGTCCAAAACCAAGGTCATGACGCTCTCTCGGAAAACTCACAATATCTCTTTTGCATATAATATTCAAGGAGAGACTTTGTCTCGAGTAAGTGTAATGAAAGATCTCGGAGTCATTGTTGATTCTGGGTTGCGTTTCTCTGATCACGTTGGTAGGCTGGTTAACTCGTCTTTGCGAATGTTGGGTGTTGCCTCTCGCTTAACCAGGGAGTTCAAAAACCCGACGGCTTTTATCACGTTATACTGCTCGCTATCCAGGTCACAGTTAGAATATGCCTCAGTTGTTTGGAATGGAATTTCTAAAAGTCACTCCTTGGAGATCGAGCGTGTGCAAAAAAAGTTTGTTCCTATCTTTAAACATTGCTACATGAAGGAGGATGTTCACTGTTTAACATATCAGTCTGCGTTAGAGCGTGTTGGTTTGCTTAGCTTGCACCGGCGTCGGGAGAACGCGGACTTACTATTTTTGTTTAAAACGCTGCATGGACTCATCAATTCTCCGAGCCTGTTATCTGAACTGTGCCTTAGGGTCCCACGTGTGCCTACTCGTCTTCTGTCATCTTTTTATGTTTCTAGAACGTTTAGTCCGGTAAACCCAATTGTGAGAATGGCTCAGCGTTTGAATCATTACTCTGAAAAACTTGATATTTTCAACCCTTGCTACAGGACGTTTGTCCTTACTATTAAAAACTTGCCCGTGCAGGATGAGCATTGCTGAATTGCTTTGTTATGTCTGAATGTCGTCATCTCCATGTCGTGTTTTCTGGTGGTGCACTTGTTGTCCTTCGGTCTTGTGTTCCGTCTCTACTGTTACTGCCTCGTTTTTATTTCATCGTACTAATTACTCGTGCACTGCCTAGTATTATGCTAAAAATGTATCTTATTTTCTGCGGAGATGTGTATAGTGTTTTTGTTTTTTTGTTGTTTTTTATCCACCAGTGTACCAGCACCAAGACCTCAGGGTTGTTCCTGGGCACTGTATAATAAAGATTGATTGATTGATTGATTGATTGATTATTATTATTATTATTATTATTACTATTATTCTACCGCACCCTACCTATACACCAACTCAACTTTCTGATGACGTCACGCCGCTGCGGTGGCGCTGCTGTTGGTAGTGCCCTCTTTGCTAGTCATTTAATTCGTTTTAAAATTCATTTTCGTGTCTTTGTTAACGGGATATGGGAGTGTCCGATCTGATACTGCTCCTTTGAACACATATAGACCAAAAAATAAGGGCCGAAATTTCGTTGTAGTATACCTTTAAAGGAGCTGTGCAACGATTTGAACGTTGAAAGAATTAGCGTCTTCTACTTTTGACATTGTTCACCTTGTGACAAAGGACAGAAAACACACCTCCTTCCTTCGAAACGTTGCGATTCCGCCGCGTAATCGCGAGGCAAAAATGAGAATATTCCTCGACCTGCCGCCACGAGCGGCGGTCATGATGAACACGCGGCATGACGTCAATGGGGGTCTTGTAAAAAGATAGAAAGTTGTGCAAATACCTGCTCGATAGAAGGTAACTTTTCTATAAATCTTGTCGTTCCAGCATAATTATAAATGCGTCAAAAACCTGGTATCATCGACAAAACTTTTATTATACGGAGTTTTAGTGGCGCCACCTATCCTAGGTCCAAAAACCGTCAGCTCGATCTACTACCGCGATCAGCCGCGAGAAGCCGGAGGGGGAGGGGGACAGGGCCGGAAGGGTATGGCGGGCCCGGATGGGACTTTCCTCCTTTCACCATATTGTTCGCGCTGCGCCCGCCAGCACGTGGTCACGCGGTCGCGAGCGGATGAGTTCTCGCTGCTCACTGATGGCTCTAGAGAGAGAGCTTCACCGGAACCCCGCGCCACCCCCATTGACGTCACAGCGCACGTGACTCGGAAAACGGTGAAGAAGTTGAGAGGTGCCGAAACCCTCAATCTTTGTCCATTTTTAAAATAAAAACTAGGGCATGTAGGAAAAAGAAGTTTTTTGTTCTTTACTTCAGAAAGGTCGAGACACCAACTCCCAAATTTTTTAAGCAAAGCACTCAAATTGTTGCACAGTTCCTTTAAAGCCCCCGGGCTACCAGTTCGACAGCACTGGCTAAATTTCTCGTCTACAGCTGGGAGACAAGTCGCCCGCTGAGGCAGACTAAGTTCTAGGCTGTATAAACAGAGACACGCGCTGACCTTTCTACGTCATTTACCCGATGCCACCACGGGGCACGGATTGCGTGCAAGTGCTGCGTCACTGTTTGGGAAGGACTCTTGTTCAGCCGGTGCAAAGTCACGGCCGCACGCTGACACAGCACTTGTATACAAGCTGTGTCCCAGGCTCCTGCAGCCTAGGCTATGTAGACGATCTATAGTGCTACGACGGGCAGAGCACTCACCGGAAAAGATGCGAAGGAATGGAGCGGCGAGATACCATCGTATCCAAGTGTGCGGCGAATGCAGCGGAAAGGAGATTGAATTCGCGTGGTTGGAGTTACCGACATAACGTTCCTGAAATATTTGGCGCCGCCTACCAGCCCCACAACGCACTATACCGCTCGCAGATTTGGGACAATCGCGAGGCCTCCCTGGATTTTCCGGCAAGCTCCGCACCTGCTCCCAGTGGTCGCTGAGGAAGCCCACGAGCAGGCCCATGGACGAGGCGACACTCAGCAGCAGCGTGGCCCCCAGGTAGAAGGAGGTGGCGTCACAGGCCGACCTCGACGTCGTCGCGGTCGCCGTTCGGCCACGAGTCGTCCTAGGGCCGCGACCCGTGGCATTCGAGGTCGGGGCTACGGGTCCGACCGCCTGCGCCAGGCGCCGCTCCATGCAAGGGCGGCGCTACCTCCGCCGGTGCCTGCACCTGGATTGAAGCGACACAAAGGACAAACAGGAATCTCCAAACACGGCTAAGTGACTGGTGCTCGACCGGAAAAATCCGCCTGGTCTGGGTATCGAACCCGGGACCTCTCCATTTCAAGTGGAGCGCTCTGCCAACTGAGCTATCCAGGGGTTAGACGTCAGTAGAGCAAACGGGTTTTATCAGCTGCCAGCAGTCTAACACCAACAAGGGTGAAAAGCTTGCATTTTAAGGTAATGATTATAATGCAGTTAAATGGGAAAGTGCATTTAATTGCATTATATTCATTCTGTCCAGCTCGCTTGCATCTTTGCATTTAATTGCATTATAATCATATGGGAGGCGTGGCGCAATAGACAAAACGAAATGAAGTGCCCGGCACAGTTGCCCACCTTCTTCTCAAGTCCCGACGCAGGCGACGCTTTCGAACTTATGTAATCAATCAGAGAGCTTCAAAAGCGCAAAAAACACGGTGCTCGTAGTGTTTTATAGCGCAGCTCTTAGGCGCCCGTTTCCGGCTTGAGCGGCTTCGCCGTCGCCGTCGGCGAAACTGCGCGTTGCATTATGGACGTGTGACACAGACATGCGCTAGGCTCGCAATGTGCAGCCTCTCACAGACTTGCTCCGAGCTCCGAGCAAGTGTTCGGCACAGATATCATGGACCACCAGCGCACTGGAGGCTTTCACCGCGGGCAAGCAAGCATTTGTCGATGCCACATTACTCGTGCATCCTATGCCAAACGCCCCGACGCGTGTCATGGTAGACGCGTCCAATGTTGCTGTCGGCGCTGTCTTGCAGCAGAACGGCGAAAATGGATGGAATCCGCTTGGATTTTTCTCAGAGAAGCTCGAACCTGCGGAGACACGCTACAGCACGTTTGGACGCGAGCTCTTCGCAATTTATGCGACCGTTCGGCTCTTCCAGTACTTCTTGGAAGGCCGAGTTTTCTACGTGCTAACTGACCACAAGCCCCTGATTTGCGCATTCGCGGGAAATCACAATTCCTACTCCGCCAGAAAAATCCTACACCTCTCGTACATCTCCGAGTATACCACTGATCTACGCCATGTCGCTGGAACGGACAACACGCCAGCAGACGCGCTCTCACGCATTAACGTGTTTCATCACCTCCTGTTGTCAGTTTTTCGGAACTGGTCTCCGCACAACAGGAAGATTCCGAGGTGCAAAAGCTACGAGCGTCCTCTACATCTCTGCAGCTCCAACCCGTCACACTGCCACTCGCAGACTGCGAGCTTGTCTGCGACGTGCCAACCGGTACCACCTAGACCATACATATCCCAACGGTTTCGACAAGCTATCTTGCAGTCCATTCATGGTCTTAGTCATCCGGGCATTCGTGCAACGCAACGTCTCATTACGGCACGATACATCTGGCCCCGGATTAACGCTGACATCCGTCTATGGACCAAAACATGCAGCAAATGTCAATGTTCCAAAGTACTTCGACACACGAAGACACCGCTGCACCATTTCGACCTCCAGATGCCAGATTTGATCACGTCCACCATGATATTGTGGGACCTCTACCATCGTCAAGCGGTTACCGATACGTTTTGACATGTGTGGACAGGTTCACGCGATGGCCGGAAGCTGCTCCACTCACCGACATAACAGCGGAGACAGTCGCCCACACCTTCCTATCTACGTGGATCGCGCGGTTTGGCTGTCCGTCCACCATCACGACCGACCGTGGCCGACAGTTTCAATGTAAATTTTTCACGGCCCTCACCAAGATCTTGGGTGTACGCCACGTACACAGCACTGCATACCGCCCTTCATCCAATCGGATGGTTGAACGGCTGCATCGCCAACTCAAGGCAGCACTGATGACGAAAGAAGATCGTGGTCATTGGGTTAGCCACCTTCTATCGTTCTCCTTGGAATCCGTTCTACTTTCAAAACAGACATCGCTTGCACCTCAGCCGAGCTCGTCTATGGCACTACGCTTAGGTTGCCTGGAGAATTTCTCACACATGTACCATCGGAAGATCCTGACATCCCGTCCTACCTTCAAGAGATGAGAAATTTCTCTTCCTCCCTGCGACCAATGTCACACAGACAACGGACTCCACGGCAGGTTTTTATTAGCGACGACCTCCGGATTTGTACACACGTATTGATGCGAAGAAATGCTGTACGAGCACCCCTCACGCTAGCTTACGACGGGCCCTATGAAGTTGTTTCTCGAACAGAAAAAAACTATCACGGTCAACATCAACGAAAGTCACGATGTGGTCACGCTGGACCGCGTGAAACCTGCCTATTTAGCTTCCTCCGTGACAAATCCGGACGTTTTCCCGCTTGAACTGTCCAGAACAACTACTCAAGTTACCAACACCCACCAGCAAATCTGGTTCCAAAAAGATCGTTACGTGGAGCACAACCACAGCTTTTGCTCCGCGCAAACAAGGGGGGGGGGGGGGGGGGGGGGGATCTTTTAGTGACACAGACAGATGCGCTAGGCTCGCAATGCTGGCTATCACGAGCACCAGCCTCTGCCAGCGCTCGTGGCTTGGGAGCCAGGAAAATAAAGAGAAAGAAATTGACTCTAGCCGAAGCTCTGGTTCGGACTCCTGCATTTTTCCTCCGGCGTTTATAGAGCACCACCGACAACGTCAGTCGTAACCGCGCGTCGCATTATGGGACGTTTTCTATAATGACGTCACGAGTGACGTCACCAAGGTCACTCATGAAGGTCACGCCGAAGGTCACGACCTTCACAGTAAAGGTCACGACCTTTACGAGACCTTAACCAGTGACGTAACGAGGCTAGAGGGGCACGAGGGAGGAGAGAGGGAGAGGGAGGAGGTGGAAAGGAGGGGGAGGAGGAGGGGAGGAGAATGAGAGAAGGAGGGAGGATGGAGGAGGGGAGAGGAAGGGGGAGGACAGGAGGAAAGGTGGAGGAGAGGCATACCCTCCTCTTCGTACCATCTCCTTTTCCTCCTCAAGAGCTGCGCTCTGATTCGGTATTACAGGTAGTTGCAAACGTCTTTCATTTTTTGTACATGTTCTATCGTCGCTAAACAGTGAAAGGCCCACTGATGTATGCTTTTGACGGTGTAGGATTGGCCGCATCAACTCGTCTAGCGTCGGCTGCATTTGAACTGAAGGTGAAACGAGGTATAGACAGAAAGGCCATTGTGCTAGATGGTCTATACGACACCTACAGGAAACCAGCGTTTGGCACAGATTTGACAAAAGGGCTGCGTCACGTTCGGCTGGGATTCGTGTTTCAAGGGGAAAACTAAAGTGGTTTAGTAGTTGAGAAGAAACAAAAAAAAGATGCTTAAGTAATCATTATTTGGCTTCTGGGGTTACGAACATCAAAATTATATTCCAGATTGATGCGCCAAAAAGTAGCCACAACAGCGCTTTCGAAATAACGCTGAATTTCCCTCCTTCCCGTCGCGTTCGGTGCGAGGAGGGAATCGTGACGTGTTCTTCAAAGATACCAACGCTTCCGCGCTTTCCGCAAGCCTTCGTGTACAAAATTTTATCACGGCATCAATGTTGGTTTGTGCCTCGTTCTTATCGCTTGTATTCTTCTTCTAATTCCCGGGTCAATATATATCACCGTCGAAACTGACAGGTCCAGTAAGAATCGTAAGGTAAAGAGCACAATGTCGAGTGCTGCTGACTAGCGAAAGTGATGGTGCCCGGCAAAAATGTACAAATTGCAGGTCGATTGTCGCTATTAGAACGGCAGAAAAAAAATGTAGACTGCTACCTGAGACACCAGATGGCACTGAATTTCAAAAAGGGCGCCAAGTGCGACGAAGCTTGATTGGTCGTCGAAATATCTCTTTTAATGTTCGGCTCCCTTGAGGCCTGGTGACATTCTTTTCCTCGGGTTTCTTGGCTTTTCCGCTTGCCCGATCAAACTTCATAAAAGAGTCGAGCAAGTCATTAAGCGATGTGAAGCTTCTATCGAAATACATCCGTTTTGCCTTGTCGTTCCGCGATTCAAGAAGCAATTCGCACTTCTCGGCTTCGCTTCCTCTCCCCATTTGTCTCGTCACATGTACATGTATTATTTCTTGTTTGTGAGCTTTAGACACACTGTATCATCATCCGCGATAATCAGGAGCCACGTTTGAATATATCACGGGCACTTTTCATCATCGTACACGGTTTCCAAAGAGGACAAAACCGAAAATATGAAGGTGAATGAACAGTGAAATTCATCAGTCTACGAAGCCGCCGAAAGACGAAAATCTCTGGCACGGAGCCCGGATTTCAACACCGGGTCTCCCAATATCCGATCGGGCGTGCTAACCATTTCAATACTCCACTTTCAGTTTCTGGCGTTTCTTATCTGTCTTATTAAACCACAACGAACGAGTTACCGGGTGTTTGGGAGCAATCCGAACCCGGCTGTTTGCACCGCAAAAATAAACTAGATATCGCGGAGTGGTCAAACTCCGTCACGACGTAGCACCAGCCATTCGAGCAAGATGCCAAAGTTTCAGCACCAACCGCTGTCTTATTCGAAAGTAATAAGTGATTTTGTTTTAATTTTGAACGGGAAAATGGCGCCCATTTTCGGCCCTTTTCGGTTTCTGGCGCTTATAGAGCACTATGTATTCGAGAATTCCGTCGGCCGCTATTTTTTTCCATTCAAATTTAGAGAAAAGCGCTTACAGATTTTGAATAAGATAACGGTGGATGCTGAAACATTGGCATTTTGCTCGAACGGCTGGGGCTACGTTTTGATAGAGTTGGAGTTTAGTTTGTTTTTGCGGTGCGAAAAGCCGGGTTCAGATTTCCCGAAACGACGCGCTATATCCGAACAGAGGTATTCTCGAAGCACACGCCGCCGCGTGGAACGTGGTACGACGCTTGCTTGCACATAGGACGTGCTCGTTGCGCTTCATAATTGTTGTTTGGCCTCAGCCGAATGAAGTTTTATGTTGTTTTTTTATCCTTGGCTTTTGAAATTTAAAGTGT